GTGTCTGTTTCTCAATGTTTGTGAATGTGGGATCTGAGGACCAAGAGGACATTCTAAGAACATCTAGGAACCCTTCTCCTTGATGCTCCAGGAAGCTTCCCTCTTGCTTAATCCTAATTTAGCCAGCTGCCGTGAAAAAAGGTTTTAGTGTTTCTCTACTTCCCTGACTTCTATTTCTTTCCCCCCTGAGATGGAATTTTTTTTACTCAGGCTGGAGTGCAGTGGCACGATCTCGGCCCACTGCCACTGCATCTCCTGGGTTCAAGCTATTCTCCTGCCTCAGCCTTCCAAGTATCTGAAGTTATAGGTACCCACCATCATGCATGGCTAATTTTTGTATTTTTGGTAGAAATGGAGTTTCACCATGTTGACCAGGCTGGTCTCCATCTCCTGACCTCAGGTGATCCACTTGCCTCAGCCTCCAAAACTGCTAGGATTATAGGTGTGAGCCACCATGCCTGGCCCTTCCCTGACCTATATAGCACAAAATAAAATTTTAAAATTATTTTCAGATTGTTTACTGATATTTCGGTAATCTTAAGGACAAAAAACACAACAAGTGCAAAGAAGTCACAGAAGTTGAAAGAAATTCTTACAATTTCTAAGAAATTGAGTTCGGTTTCAAGGGATTGAATATGGTTCTATGCTTCTTATCCCCACAACCCTCTCTGTCACATTTACCCTATTTTAACCGTGATCAGTTCTCTCCCTTCCTATGTTCCTCACCATTCTTTAGTGAAACCTGAAAGGATTTCATTAAAGAGTCAACATGATTGTAAGGAGCAAAGAATTTGGACACGCTCAGATTTTAATTAAGACCTAACTCTTTTTCTTTCTGTCTCTTGACTCTTAAAAGGCTACTTAGACTCTCAGGGCTTCCGTTTCCTCATCTAAAATGAGAATAATCAAAACAACTCCTTTAGAGTATGGAGGCTAATGAGATAACATACATACCAAAAACCTTGCAGGGACTGGCATGTCTGCTTCTCAAGCAAGGAAGGTTCAATATTAGAAACTGCCTCTTTGCCCACTGACAGCCTCAGATAATTCACTAAGAAGTCTAAAAAATGAGAACAGAATGATCTCATCATAACCACCACTAAGTTGAGCAACCCACCTTCAGTTGAAGCCCAGGTCTCTGGCTTCTCTCCTATTATTATAGGGAAAGCCTTCCTACCCCCACCTCTTAATATCCCTCCTGATCCAGAACCACATTGCCCCGTCAAGGATTTTGCTTCTGCATGTGACCCTTTTGTCTCCTGATTCTTACATCTATTATTTCAATCAGCCAAAGTCTGCTGAAACGTCACCCATTTCTATAGAAGTCTTCCTAAGACTCTTAGTGCTTCTTTCCTACCATATTATTTGTCTCCCGTTTTATTGCAAAAGTTCTTCAAACTTATGTATGTGATTATTTCCCCATCTCCCCACTTCCAATGTTTCCTTATGCACACCTTATAGATGCTTTTGTTCTTTCTAGTTCCAGTCTGTGAAGGTCATCTACGGCCTCCATTCCACACATTTCAGGAATCGTTTCTCAGTCCTGCATGTCTTGCTTCTCTTCAGAAGTTTAACACCATTGATCCTATCCTTCTTTTGGGACCACTCTATCAATCTTTCCAGGAATCTCCCCCTCTCTCCCAGGGTTTCTCCTACCTCTGCCTCTTCCCTCCTACAGCTACAAAGTTCTTCCTCTTCCAACTCTTTTTTTTGTCATAATAAAGAATTCATCTAATTAATTAAGCAAACTAGGATTTTTTTCTTGACTCTTTTCCTTTCATCACATTACATCTAGTCAAATAAGCTATGTTATCATTGTGAAGTTCAAGCTTCAAAATAATTTCCTACTGCAGTCTGTTTCATCACTTTCATCTCTATCAGCCCACCTAAGCAAGACTCCTTTGCAGTTTACACCAAAGAGTTCTATTTATTTCCAAACGGTCAATTACCCATCTTGACTGTTTAAAAATTATATTACTTTTCTGTGTTTTCCAGTTGATTGCTACCACTTTTACTCTGTAAGAATCGGAACCTTTTTTTTTGTTTTTGTTTTTGTTTTTTTTTTTGAGACAGAGCCTTGCTCTGGTTCCCAGGCTGGAGTGCAGTGGCAAGTTCTCAGCTTGCTGCAACCTCCGCCTCCTAGGTTCAAGTGATTCTACTGCCTCGGCCTCCTGAATTGCTGGGATTACAGGTGAGTGGCACCACACCCAGCTAATTTTTTCTATTTTTAGTAGAGTTGGGGTTTCACTAAGTTGGCCAGCCTTGTCTTGAACTCCTGACCTTGTGAACCGCCTGCCTCATACTCCCAAAGTGCTGGGATTACAGATGTGAGCCACTGCACCCAGCTACTAATTTTTACCTATACTAAAGTGCTATGTATTGCCCCCTAACTCTCTGTGGAATTGGGGGATGCTCTACACCTAATTCATTCTGCTGTGGCCACACTGGTCATTGTCTTCTTTTTATGGTTGGGTAGGGAAGCAGTATGCTTAGATTTTTCTGTTAATGAAAATAAATATTTTTGCACAAATGCAGTTTGATTTTGTTACACTGATGGCGTAGTGCTTAAGTGAAGGCATTACGGTACTCATCGGTCAAATAACAAACACTGCATTTATTAATACCTCACAGCACAATCCTTCGGCCTCCCATACTCCCAAGTATTCATTATCTATCATTTCACTCTCTGCATCCATGAAAACACATTCTTAGCAACCACTTACCAGTGAGAACATATTATATTTGATTTTCTATATCTAGCCTGTTTTGCTTAAGAAAATGACTCCCATTTCCATGCATATTGTCATAATATGTGTGATTTCATTCTCTCTTTCTGACTGAGTAGTATGGTATTGTATATATATAATTGCATTTTAATCCAACCATTCATTGATGGATACAGTGTAGATTTAGTATCTTTGTTACTGTGAATGTTGCTACAGTAAACATACAGATAAAGGTATATATTTGATACATTGACTACTTTTCCTTTGAGAACATACCCAGTAGTAGGATTGCTCAATGGAAATTGATTTCAATATGGAGACCAGAGTGGTGAGTGATAGGCATGGTTCTACTGCCTCCCAGTTAGCCCTGGTAGAAAGTCAGATGAGAGCTCCAGCTACTGAGGTCCATTCAGTAGTCATTTTCTTTTTGCTTTTTTTAGAATGAGGAGGT